GATAGAGCCTGGTGGAACCACTGAGACTATGGTCCCTAGTTGCCCTTCAGGTTTGGAATTGAATGCACACCTGTGGTTTCCAGCCAAAGAAAAGACAGGCATATGAGTTGAACATTTACCTGAGGTAGATACACTCCTTGGAGAGAACAATCATGGGAGAAATAGAGCCTGTTTCTGCATAGGGAGACAGTTCAGAGGGCAGTAGTGCATGGAGGGATGGACAGGGAAGAGGTAACTGTCAGGAGGTAGGCGAGCTGTTGCACTGTGATAAATTGTGGTCAATGTCATGAGACAAATTGTATGTGACCTGCTGTATGGAAAGTGAATTTGCTCTGTAAATTTTCACCTAAATCACAATAAAAACAAGCAAACAAACAAACATTGTTTACATTCTATTTTGGTGAGAAGTGACTGGGATCTTAAAAGCTTACAAGCAGCCATCTAAATGCAACAATGGATCTCTCATTGTCCCAGAGCAATGAATGAAAACACCAAAGATGTATGGAGACAATTAGTCTAAGGGACGAGTGGTCCATGCAAACCTCAGCCTATGTGACCATGAGACCAGAAAAACTAGATGGTGCCCAGTTACCACTGTCAACTACTTGGAAAGGGATTAGTGCAGGAGATCATGGATAGAGTGCGAGAACAATGTGGAACAAAATTCAAAATCATAAAAAAGATCAGGTTTATTGGTCTGATAGAGCCTGCTGAGACCCCCAAGACTACGGCCTCTAGTTACCCTTCATGTCTGGAACTGAACTCACTGCCATGCCTTCCAGCCAAACAATAAATAGACAGGCATATGGGGTGAACATTTACATCAAGCAGAAACACTCCTTAGAACAATCAATCATGGGAGAATAGAAGGGCAGTATTTGCACAGGGAGATAGCCTAGGGTGTAGGAATGCACAGGAAGGAAGGACACAGGGAGGAGGTAATAACTACAGGGAAAAAAAGAGAGCTGTTACACTGTGGAGAATTGCAGTCAACGTCATGAAACAAAATGTGTATGAACTGCTGTATGGAAAATGATTTTGCTCCGTAAACTTTTACCCAAATCACAATAACAATAAAATATCTTCCAAATCTGAATTTGGATGCAACAATTTAAAAGGTTCTTTTCTAGTAAAAAGAATACTGATGAGGTATTATTCATTTCTTTCTAAGAACTCTTCCCAACATCTGCCATTTAGAGCAGGAAAGAAAACATTTGCACAAAAGAAAAAGCATCTTGACTGATAAGAGTCTACCCATTTTATCTGTAAAGATAAGTGACAACTAGCCATTTTCAGAATATGCACACAGAAACTCTGGCTCATAAAGTAATTTGAACACAATTTTATAATTTTATCAGATTCGTCTTAGGAAGAAAACAGCAAAAATACAGAACTGTAACTGATTCCAATGAACAAGCTAATTAAGTGCAGAAGGCAAGACTAATAGCAATCTAATGACAAATGTATTCCCTTTACATACCGAATTTGCCACTGAGTGCCACATTTAATAGAATGTCAATTGCTCCTGGTTCTAAGCCATTCTCCCAAGCCACAGTTTCAATAATTTTCAAGTAGTTTTCCACGGTTTTACCTTTATTCCGTGAAGTTTTAACAGGACCTGAAAAAAAGGAACAGTATTAATCAGCAAAAACCAAAACCCAAACTCACTGCCACTGAGTCAATTCCAACACATAGTGACCCCCTTGGGAGCTCTGGTACTATAGTGCCTGAGGCACTTGACTGCTAACCACCAGCTACTCCTCGGAAGGAAGGTTGGACAATCTACTTCCGTAGTGATACCGCCTCAGAAAACCAAGGAGGGGTCGCTATGAGTCAGGTCTGACTCAATGGCACGTAACAACAATAGTGACCCCCTTTTGGGTTCCTGAGGTGGTAAATCTTTACAGAAGTAGATTGCCCAGTCTTCCTTCTGCAGGGTGGCTGGTGGGTTTGAACCACCAACCTGCTGGTTAACAGTCAAATCCCTTAGGGACTATAGAGGGACCTTAAAATTCTTTCAATCTTCAACAGTTAAATTTTGGGATTCTTTAAAGGGAAATATTTATGTTAAAAATTTCTTCCTAAAAACCCTTCAAAGCCTTTAAAATTTTAGAATATTTAGAATTTTGCACTTACAGTGAAAGAAATAACAACTTTAATGAAAAAGGAATCATGCCCTAGCATCAAAGCCTTCAACCATTACAGGACAACTATGTCAATGTTGACATAGTTGACAGGACAACTAACTTAGTTCATAAAGTTCTACATCCTACTTTGACGAGTAGCAACTGGGGTCTTAAAAGCTTGCGAGTGGCCATTTAAGATGCAACTGTTCATCTCTCCTCATCCAGAGCAAAGAAAACCAAAGTTGCATGGAAACAATTAGTCCAAAGGACTAATGGGCCATTAAGAACTTCAGCCTATCTGATCCTGAGACCAGAACTACATGGTGCCCAGCTATCCCTGCCAATCCCCAGATAGAAATCAAAACTGGAGATTCTGGAAAGAGTGTGAGAAAAATGTAGAACAGAATTTTAAAAACAAAAAAGACCAGGGTTACTGGTCCAATAGAGACTGGTGAAACCCCCAAGACTATGGCCCCTAATCACCCTTGGAGCTTGGAATTGGACTCACTCCTGTGGCTAACTTTCATCCAAACAATAGACAGGCCTATGAGCTGAACAACTACACGAGGGAGACACACTCCTTAGAACAATCAACCATGGGAAATCGAAGGGCAACCTTTGCACAGAGAGAAAGCTAGGGAGGCAGGAATGCATAGGCAGGAAGGAAAAAAAATCCTTTTAAAAACTTTCAAATTCTAAAGTATTTTTATAGAAATAAGACTTTCATAAGGGAAATAATCAGTTACCTTTTTCAAAGTATCTCAATGCTATTGGCAGAGCCTCTTCAGCATACTCATAATCTTCAGGTGGACTGTTTTGTCCATGTTTCAAGATGCTTTCAAAGTAGCTCGAGTTCTCTTGTATTTGGTCTGACAGCCTACCTCGAGAAGTCCTCTTCTGTGCCCGCAAGTTAACTCTTTTTCGAGCTGACATTACCACGTATGTTCTATACAGAAACAAGTGTCAATTACCGGTTAATCAGTCAAACGTTCCCATTTTTTCCCACAAAGACAGGGGCCATACCTGGCTACTTTTGCAGTATTAAATATAGTTATCTACCATAGAACAGAAACAAAATATATTGACAAGAATCCATGCAACAAATTCTATAGGTTAACTTTCTCAGAAAGCCCTGACCTAAATAGAAACAACTCCCTGAGGTAACATTCATCAACTGAACTGGCCTTGTGGGGGGAAAAAACAGTTAAGAATATAGGCGACACAGGAAGTTCATTCTTAAACTGGCTTTATCATAAAAGTGACCCTGAAAATAACCCAGGAGCTCTGATAGCATAGTGCCTAAGGCCATTTGAAAAATAACCCAACTCATAAATTCAGTCTTAATTTCTCCACTGTTTTTCTCCCTTTCTCCTTGATTTTGCTTTTAAACTTTATGTCCCCCACTTTGGGAGTGCTAAGTTAAAACTGCATAGTTTAAAAACCAAATAGGTGGCCAAACTAGAGATTCTCAGAATAGAAACATTACCCATCTTTTTATTCACTTATCCAGTAAATAATTACTCAACAGTAACTATATGCCAAGCACAGTTCTAGGTACCAAGGATGAAATATTAAAAGACTCAAGTTCCCTGCTCTCATGAAAGCAAATAAATAAGGAAATAATGAATAGAAAAGCACAGTGATGTGATAGAAACAGAGTGGGAGTGGGGGCCTACTTTGGAATAAGTGGTCAGAGAAAGCTTCTCTGAGGTGACCTTTAAACTGAGATTTGAATGCCAAGAAGGAACCAACCATGTGAAAATCTCGTGGAAAAGTATTCATGGAGCAGGGAGATCAGGATGTGCTAAGACCTTAAAACAAGAGCTTTACATGTTACAGAAATAGCAGCAACACCAGTGTGGGGGCACTGGCAGGAAAGAGGTAAAGGGTGGTGGGACATGAAGTCAGAAAGGTAGCCAATGACTAAATCATACTGGGACTTGCAAGCCAGAGTAAGACATTTGGAATTTATTTTAAGTGTCATGGGAAGGGAGTGGGGAGAAGTTAGGAAGGGGAGGGATACCATCTGATTTATGTTTTAAGATTTTAACCGTTGTGTAAAGAACAGAATGTTGGGGTCAAGAAATGAAAATAGACCAATTAAAGGAGTCTTGCGGAAGTCAAGAAGAGACATGACTGTAGTGTGCTGCTTAAGGAGCAGCAGTGTAAGAGATGGAAAATTAATGAATTCATGATGTGTTTTGGAAGGATAATGGATAAGATGTGATCAAAGAGCTGGATGTAGGGAAAAGGAAAAGTGGAACCAAGAATGACTTCTAAGTTTTGGGCTCACAATGCGAAAAACTAAGGGTTTGATTGGAGTCTTAACGCAAACGCACCCTAGAACAGATGAGGTCAGAACAGGCAATAAATATGTGGCCAACCCAGTGGGAGGGTCCAAATTCCGAGCTCTTTCCTAGGATCCACGGCAAAAAGGGCTGGCAAGCAGCTTCTGATCCCATCCCTCTGACCTGTTCCATCGCTTCCCAAGTATTCCTTTCACAGTCTACCCCAGCGGGGGGCGAACTTGGCCACAACTACTGGCACACTGAACAGATTCCTGGGCTGGGAGTGAAACCAACCCACGACATTTTTCAGGGTAATCCTGCCTGCAAAAACTGAGAGATCCCCTTTGCTCTCGTGTGTACTATTTCTCAGGGTGTCCCTGTGTTCCTCACCTGGTACTCCAGCCCCGAATCGTCCGGAATCACAATACCGCTTCCCCAATTCAAATACGCGTGCCCCACCCCGCGCATGAGCCTCTTGGGAGCCCAAGCCGGCGGCAAGGTGGAGCGACGCGCTCTACTGAAGTCTGATTGGTTGGGTTACAGCGCTATGGCGCGAGACAGCGCGCGCGCCAATGGTGACGTAGATGCAGTTTCGGAGTACTACTGGCTCCATGAGCCCCACCCAGCTCGAGGGCTCCTGGAATCTGTGTGGTTGCTGTCGGAGTCAGCCGATTGGCTGGCGTTTCCACTGTTGTCTTTTGTGTAAAACGGGGCAATTAACGTCTTGATTCTTAAAATTAACATGATAAATGACAGTAATCATTTTACCCAGATTGACCCCAAATGTCAGGATTTTGAAGCTATAAGAAAATATGAAACTGCAAACTGCATAATAAAGTCTGCTTTTCCCAGGCTTCTAGCCCTGGTGGCGCAGCGGTTAAACACTGGGCTGTTAACCAAAATCGGCGGTTTGAACCCTCCAGCTGCTCCGTGGGTGAAAGATATGGCAATGTGCTTCCTTAAAGATATGCAGCCTTGGAAACCCTATGGAGTTAATTTTACTCGGTCCTAGAGGGTCGCTATGAGGAGCTCTGGTAGCGTAGTGCCTAAGGCACTTGACTGCTCACCAGAAGGCTGGCAGTTCAAACCTTCCTCAAATCGGAAGGAAGATGGGGCAATCTACTTCCGTAGTGATACTGCCTCGGAAACCCAAGGTGGGGTCGCTATGAGTCGGGGCCAACTCGTCGGCAAGTAACAACAACAACAGAGGGTCGCTATGAGTCAGGAATCGTCTGGATGGCAAAGGGTTTGGTTTATTTAGTTTTGGTTCTGTGACCTCTGGGACAGTCACTTTCCGCATGTGAAGATAAGGATTGGGAGGAAAGAATAGTTGGATCTGCCCTCCTTTTACACTAGGATGGGGGTATGGATACCCTCTAAGGTTTGCTGGAAACCTGGGTCCTGAGTCAGATAATGTGGCACCTTGGAAGCAGCAGGCAATAAGCAAAGAAAAACTCCTAACCTTGAGGGATCAATCGGCATTAAAGAAAATAGCTAAAACAGCAACAAGGGCTAAACTTGGTCCCTAATTTAATCTCTTACTGGAGTAGGAATCAGAGATGAAACAAATTTAACCACGCTCATTGATTTTTGAGGGCCAAAACATATCTATAACTGGGCAAAACTGTAGGAGAAAATTTTGCAATCATATGGAGTGTGAAAGAAAAAAAATAACAGCCATCTTACTTTGATTTTTAGGGTTTTTTCTTACCCACAAAACCAAAACGTAACCGTTAAAAAGCCCTGACCCAAACGGTAAAAGTTTTGACTTATTTCACCAGAAACTGCTCTGCAGCCTGGTAAATGTTGTTCCAGTGTAATCAATAACAAACCTATTACTATGTGATTTTAAAAAAGCTCAGCTGCTAACCAAAAGTACATGGTTCGAGCCTACCAGCCACTCTCAGGAAGACAGACTGGCAGTCTGCTTCCTAAAAGATTTACATACAGCCTTGGAAACCCTACGGGGCGGGGCAGTTCTCTTCTGCCCTTAGGGTGGCTCCCTGAGTTGGAATGACTCCTGGCAGCGGGTTTGGGCAGTGAGTTTACCTCGTGGTTTCACAAAAACAGTGCACATCCTTGATTTGAATTTCAAGAGGTCTCATAGCTACAAAGGGGTAACCCAAACCCGCTATTGTTGAGTAAACAGGTAAAGGGCCAAATTTCCAGCACTTTTTAATGTTAAATCAAAAAACTCACTGCTGTCGAGTCGGATCCAACTCATTGTGACCCCTCCTTGGGTTTCCAAGGTAGTATCACTACGGAAGTAGATTGCCCCATCTTCTTTCCAAGGAGGAGTGGCTGGTGGGTTTGAATCGCCAGCCTTCTAGTTCGCAGTTAAATGCCTTAGGCACTATGCTATCAGGGGCTGCTAGTGTTAAGTCAGTAACTATTAAGTATGTGGTCGCTGTGGAAACTTGTATTCATAAAGAAAAAAAAATATTTAGGCTTCTGTGAAATCGCCAATCCTCCGAACGTTTTTTTCTTCATTTTACACACACAGGGTAGACTGGTGCTCTTCTAATTGACAAATTGTACATTAAATCATAGGAGTTCTGGTAGCATAGTGCCTAAGGCATTTGACTGCTAACCAGAAGGCTGGCGGTTCAAATCCACCAGCCACTCCTCGGAAGAAAGATTGGGCAATCTACTTCTGTAGTGATAACCCTTTGGAAACCCAAGGAGGGGTTACTATGAGTTGGGTCTGACTCCAAGGCACTTAACGACAACGTGTTAAATCATGAAACAATATTATATTATTGTTTTGAATTAATTCAAATGTTTATTTTTTAACAACTGTTACTAGCCTACTTTGAGCCACTTGTTTTTAGAAACAGAATTTTCTCCCTGCATGCATATACAGAATGACTGCTTGGAATATTCCAATTTCCTTGAGTTTAGATTGTTTTTAACTGGAGACATGAAGGACCAAAGATTAAATTGATGTATTTGAAAAACCTATAGTAGAAATGACTGTTTACCACCTCTTACATTTATGTGGTTTAAAGAGTACTTTCATATACTCTTATATAATCTGGAATGAAATTGAGACAATGTTGACCCTTCAAATAGTTCAATAATAGCTGTTCTCCCTTATCTACTGAAACAAAGTTTGTCTAGAATCTTTTTTTTTTTTTTTTACTCACTTCATAGACTCAAAGAAATGTAAATTGGAAGGGATTTTAAGGTTTCAACTCCCTCCTTTTTTTGTAGCTGAAGCTGGGGCCCTGCTTGGTGAAATAACTTTCTTGACATGACAGGTTTGTGACAGTGCAAGTGTAATTTGTGCCACTTTGAAGACACATATGTAGTGAGCCAGTGATTCACTATATTGTACCTGCAATTTTTCCTAAAATCATTATACCTTCCCTTGGCATCATCTAATGAAGCAGGACACCTCAAACCTAGAAACTATAATTGGGATCTCAAATCTATGATTTTCTGTCTTTGCTGACATCACAAAAAAGTATGGGAAATTCAAATAAGTTTGGAAAGTTGATTTATTCTCCTCCTTCTCTTTTCTTCCCTCACCCAGATTTCAAAAAAAAAGAGAGAGCCTAAATCCCTTGATATGACACTTTCTTTCCAGATTTTCAATATTTGTCCAGACAATTTCCTCCAAATTTCAAAAATTTTTATTTTGAAAGAATGAGAGAAATAAAGACAGGTATCAATTACCAAGAACAATAACATTGAAGAAAATACAATAATTCGTACTCTCCCCACATACAACCCCCCACCCCATTCCCCATCCCTGGCACAATAATATTAAAACCATCAAAGCACATCTAACGAGAAGAAACAGCAGTATTTAATGAAGAAAGCAAATATTCATACTGCTCAATCCAACTAACCCCTATTAAATGTCCTTCCCTCAGAAGAACCCCACCTACCGGCATGACAAAGGGGTGTAGAGAAGACAACCCTGGGGGTGATTTGGAACTCCGTTTACACTAGGGAAGATTCAGGGAAGAATCATTCAGAGTAGTGAGTTTGTTTGGCAGGGAAACTGGATACACCTCCTCTATCAAACTTCAGATGATTCAAGAGAACAGCTAGGGTTTGAGATTCACAGACTTCTAGCAGTACTAATCCTTGCTCCCTCAACCACAACAGTGGAGCAGCTGTCAAATCCTGGTTAGCCGCTAAGACTAGTGGAACAGCAGCAGCTTTTGGCTTGAGAAAATCCAAAAAAGATGTAGGGTAACAAACAAGTTTACTGCTTCAGTTTCAAAGTGTAAGTAAAAGGGCTTAGTAGCAGGGACTTGGACAAAGGCAAGGTGAAACTTTTTCTTTTATCACTTGAAGACTTAGACTATCAACAGCATGGATCCATTGTTTTAATTAAACTCATTATGGAGTATTTAAAATTTAAACTACTTGCCATAGAGCCTAAGTAATTTTACATATAACTCAGTTTCTCAGATTTAAGGAATCGTTTCCTAAAGTGGTGAGTTTAACTTTCCAGAGTAATCTACTGAGGGATTTCCCTCCATGGGAATACATCACTTCTTTTGCGATGTAAGTAGAGTTCTCTTTATATGAAGTTTATTTTATTCTGCCTTTGCTGGAATCAGTCTATAAAGGGAAGGATATCTGTGTGGGATTAGTTCAAGACCAGAGCCTTCTCATCCACACGTGCGTGTGTGCGTAGATACACACACAGTAAATACATATTCCCACACATCGTCTTACAGTCACATGCTTGCTGGAGTCCATCCCACAAACACACTTCAGTAGCCAAATACATTTACATGCAGCAAGATGTGAGAGTTGCCCCAGAGTGATTAAAGGTGGTGCACATAGGTCTACGTGGGGGGGTCATTTTATGGTATAGATGTACACAAGCCAATAGGGTCATTAACTTGCAGATTATATTTTCCCTTTCCCCCAAGACAGACAAATCAAATAAGAAACACACACTGACATCTTCCTGGGTGTCATGGAGGCAACTGCCTGGAAGGTCCACTTTTTGCACTTCCATTTTCTTATGACACCTTCACTTTGCCCTGAGGAGCCTTTTCATATAAGGAGGGCTGCTCCTCAGCATTCCCAAGCAAGGGCTTCTTCTCAGAAGACCGGTCTTCTGGCTTGCGGGCAATCAGCAGGCGGCAGGTGAGCAGGATCCCAAACACCAGGGCATGAGCGTAGCGTTTGAGAGGATCACCGACAAGCTGGTGAAAGAAGAGCACAGCCAACACCAGCAAGAGCAGGAAGAAGTTGGCCACATCCTTGGGACGCCCGGGCACAAGGGTCATGACGATGCCGCAGGCCACCTCAAGAGCTCCAATGCTTTTGCGGAGAAGGATTGAATTGATCCCCATTTTCTTCAGTAGAGGAAGGGCTCTCACATAGCTCTTGTAAGCACGTTTCTAGAGTGGAAATGCCATAAGAACATCACTGCATTAACCATGATTTGAACACTAGAATGAAGAAAACACAAGCAATAACCTTCGTCCCCACAATTCCACTTCCATACCAGCCAAGAGTCTTCACATTTCTTTATTGTGTCCCTCAATAAAAGCCTTACTCACTGCTATGGAGTCGGACCTGACTCATAGCAACCCCTCCTTGGGTTTCTGAGGCGGTATCACTATGGAAGGAGCTCTGGTAGCATAGTGGCTAAAGCACTTGACTGCTAACCAGAAGGCTGGCAGTTCAAACCCACCAGCCACTCCTCGGAAGGAAGGTTGGGCAATCCTACTTCCGTAGTGATACTGCCTCGGAAACCCAAGGTGGTGTTGCTGTGAGTCAGGGCTGACTCGACAGCACATAACAACAACATCACTATGGAAGCAGATTGCCCAACGTTCCTTCCAAGGAGTGACTGGTGGATCTGAACCACCTGCCTTCTGGTTAGCAGTCAAATGCTTTAGGCACCTATGCCACCAGAGTTCCCAAATAAAAGCCTTGTAACTAATAATATAATCAAAGTGAGCAAACTCCTGAGAATCTCTGTGATTTAAACCTTAACAGTGGTTAAGGTTATGACTGCTAACCAGAAGGCTGGTGGTTCAAACCCACCAGCCACTCCTTGGAAGAAGATTGGGCAATCTACTTCCATAGAGATACTGCCTTGGAAACTCAAGGAGGGGTTGCTATGAGTAGGATCTGACTCCACAGCAGAGTTTGGTTTTTCATTTTGAACAACACCAAAGGAGCTCTGGTGGCACTGGGGTTTAAGGCATTGGGCTGCTAACCAAAAGGTCCCAGGTTTGAACCCGCAGATGCCATTGGTCACAGGGGAAAGATGAGAGAGTCTGCTTTTGTAAAGATTTACAGCCTTGGAAACCGTATGGAGGTCTCTCTCATTCAGAATCAACTGGACAGCATTGGGTAGGTGGATGACAACACCAAATGGAATAAGGCAAAGAAAAAATTTTTTCTATTGTTAAACAAACAAAAAAAATCTAATTATCATAAACAACTCTAAGAATTTACAAAAAAAGTTCACTGGGCCCATAAAAACTGGTGTTAGGACATCCACATTTTCCAGAGCTTGCCTTGTCCAAACCTGAGTGCATATGAGTACCAACCAAAATGAAACAGGCCAGGCATAGTACATAAAACTTCAGTAATTTGGACTCCCCTAATTTGGAATTTGTGATAATTCAGAAAAGAGCCGAGCTGAAGTTTACATCTGTGGAATCCATGAATTTTTTTTTTAAATGTTTACTAAGCAACTGAAAAAATAAAAATGTATATGCATTTAATTCCTTTGATATTTTTTTTAAATATAGTATGACAAAATCATTCTCATGTTCACTGAGGTTAACCTCCAGACCTCTACAAAACACTACCCTGATTAGTTCAAGTTTATTCATTTTAATTCAAGAAACATTTATTGAACACCTACTATGTGTCATGCGTTGGAGATATGGAGATGAATAAGACAGGGTCAAGAAGCTCTCGGTCTACTGAGGGGAAACAGATACGTAAACAATATTATCAGGCAGCATGGTTAGTGTTATTTAATAGAAGTATGCACAAGGACTAATGGTAGTCCAAAGGGAGACATCACAGGATAAAGATGCAAGTTACTGGACATATTACAAAGTAAAAGAGTTACATTGCATTTAGAGTAATAGATATTTCAGATTATCCTGATCCTCATTTTGAAGCAAATTGATGAGATTTTAACAAGTCTTCTTGGGTTGTTTACTGTTTTGTTTTCAATAAGTATCCATTCATTTATTAAATGCCTCCTTGTGGTAGGCACTGTACTAGTTGCTCTGGCTATCAGTCTTTCAAAGGCCCATGCCTTCGTGAAGCTTGAAGTTTATAAGGAGAAAAACAGATAAATACATAACTGCAAAAAAGTGTTATAGCTGCTAGATAAAATTATGTCGTGGATACAGTGAAGGCACACCAGAGGGAGTGTGGTCAAAATCTCCCTAGCTGAAGGCTGACAAAAGCTAGAGTGAGATCTGAGAAGGTGTTTGCAAGATCAGTAAGGGAGGGAATGGTATTGCAGGCAGAAGCAGCTGAATGAGCAAAGATCCTGAAGCACAAAATAGATTGGTATCTTGATGACACTGCCACAGTTCAGCACAAGTTAGGGAGGATGAGATATTAGGAGAGGTAGATATGAATCAGATTACAGAGAACTGGAGGAAGATGAGGCAATGTACTTCCATAAAGATTTACAGCCTTGGAAATCCAGTGGGGGTTGCTAAGTCAGAATCGACTAGATGGCAGTGGGCTTGGTTATTGTTATATATGTTGTGCTATGGCTCTGGACTTTATCCTCTAAGCAAGGAAGAGAAACATAATCAATTTGGTTTTTAGGAAGGTTCCTCTGGAAGTAGTGTGGAGGGTGGATTGGGAGAGGCATGCCTAGAAGCAAGGAAACCAGGTTAGAGATCTGGACTAGTGTAATCACAGTGAGGATGAAGGGCTGGCATCAGAGTTTAGCATACTTTGAATGCAAAATCAAGAGAACTTGGTGTTTTGTTAGATGTTGACACTGAGAGGAAGGGAGGAGTCATGAAAGATTCTCAGGTCTCTAGCTTGGGTATCTGGGCAGATGGGTGTTACCATTCTCCACATTTGGGAATGCAGCAGAGGTTGAGGGGCAGGAAGCAAAGGGGAATAAGAAATTCAATTTGGTGGTTTTTTTTTTTTTTAAGTTGAATTATCTAGAAGACATCTAAGTTGAGATGTCTGGTAGGCTGCTTAGTAAGAGGGGTCTGGGCTAAAGACACAGAATGTATAGTCATCAATACATACTGTGGGAATGGACAAGTTTGCCCAGGAAAGAGTATTGCAGTGATAAAAATTGTATGGCAGAACATTTAAGCAATGAAGAGAGGAAAAGGGTCCACAAAGTAGACAGAACAAAGTAGGTGAAAAACCAAGAGACATGGGGCCATGGAGGCCAAGAGGAGTTTCAAAAAGAAAATAGTCAAAAGCACCATATGCAACACAAGTATATGAATCGGGCAGAAGGCCAATTCACCCTCCCAGAGCATCTGGCACTTAGAATAGATTTCTACACACTCTAGGTTTCGAACAAATGTTAAGTCATTTTTCCTCACTTCTGGACAAGTGAATGCACCTTTATTTCATGGATTAATTATCATGAGTAGCACAAGATAATCCTCTCTGAGGACTGTTAAAAGACTGATGTTTTAGTGAAAAAGCATGGGTTTTGGATTCACATAGAATGGATTTCAAATCCCAGTTCTATCACTTTCCAGTTGAATGTCTGTGGGCAAATTACCTAAATTCTCTGAGCTTCAGTTTCCTGAGCAGGGCAAGGACTTAAGTGAGGCGAGTGAGGCTACTTGCCTTGGTACAAAATTTAAGGGGATGCCAAAAAACTTAATAATCATAAATAATATCCATGATGAACAAAATTTCAAAATTTTAAATAAAGGTAGGATCTGCCCCTGCAATTGCATGCCCTGCCTCACTCTTTTATCTCTATTCTTGGCCCTGCCAGATCCTGACTTTATTTAATATTTCACCTCCTCCTAATCCATGCACTGTTCCTGAGCACATTGTTGTTGTTGTTTGCCATCGAGTCGGCCCTGACTCATAGCGACCCCTCCTTGGGTTTCTGAGGCAGTATCACTACGATTTGACTCGATGGCACATAACAACAACAACAACAACATCACTACGATAGTAGGAATGCCCAACCTTCCTTCCGAGGAGTGGCTGGTGGGTTTGAACCGCCGGCCTTCTTGTTAGCAGTTAAAGTGCCTTAGGCACTATGCTACCAGAGCTCCTTCCTGAGAACATAGGAAATACAAAGTGGTAGTGGTTCTTCCTCCCTCTTCCCATGTTACAGTAAAATTATGGATTTTCAGAGTGAAATATAGAGAAAGGTTGACCAGTAGGTGGAGTGTAGCCCTGGGCTTAACAGAGCCAGACTCAGTCAGAGGATAGGAAACCTGGTGACAGAGAGAAGCCTGTTGTCCCTTTTCTCTCACTATTAATCTAGATACTATCTCCCTGCTCCCTCCCCCTCTGCACTTTGGTGATGGTAGCAAGGGGACTTTAGGGAAAGTTATCCAGACCCAGGAGACTTCCTTAATATTTTTAAGTAAGAACTATTTCTAATTAACAACACAAAACTTCCCATGAGGCAATTCCTAAATCCTAAGTGTAAGCTTCTCACATGATGAACACAGGAGGCAAGATGAATTTCTTGCAGTCAGTTCTGAGTGAAGACTTCCAGATGCTGGCTGAGTTGATTTGGGAAATGCTCTAACCACCCAACAGGCACAGTGGTTAAGGCTTATGGCTGCTAATCAAAAGGTTGGAACCCACCAGTCGCTCTGCAGGAGAAAGATGATGCAGTCTGCTTTCATAAAGATTTTGCAGCCTTGGAAATCCTATGGGGCAGTTCTACTCTGTCCTATAGAGTTGCTGAGTTGGAATAAACTGGATGGCACTGAGCTTGTTTTGTTTTGTTTTTAACTACCCATCATTCAAGAATACATTTTTATGTAAACTATAGTGGAGCTCTGGTAGCGTAGCGCCTAAGGCATTTGACTGCTAACCAGAAGGCTGGCTGTTCAAACCCACAAGTCACTCCTCAGAAGGAAGGTTGGGCAATCTACTTCCATAGTAATACCGCCTCAGAAACCCAAGGAGGGGTCACTATGAGTCGGATACGACTCCATGGCAAGTGGGTTTGGTTTGGTTTATAGTGGAATAAGTAGCCCTAAGGCCAAATTCCAAGTCTTTAAATCAAGTTTTTATGACTTCAGTGGTCTTTTCTCTCCATTTGGTGTAACTGAATATTACTTTCTCAGTTGTTTTAGCTAACCTCTTAAATTGCAGCTGTGGATATTTTTATACAGCTGTAGCCTCTTTCTTCTTTTTCTCAAGAGGAAACTGCATGTGGATAAGCCATTTCATC